GTTAGGCACAGTCCTAGACTACAGGGCAATGGGCAAGTATCACAGAGTGCCATCAGGCTTACCCATTTGGGGGGTATGTGTGTGTGCGTGTGTGTGTGTGTGTGTGCGCGCGCGCACATGCATGTGAATGTCAAATGATAATTAAACTGCACATGCTGCCAGGGAAATGATCAACATTTTTCTTGATAAATTCTGGATAGTTAAACAAAAAGAGAGAAATTATAAAAATCTTGCTTGGTTGCATAAAAGTTTATTTCTCTCATTTCTATCAACACCTCACCATGGACGCCTGTCATGCAAATTGAATAACCATTATGAGAATTACTAACCATGTATCAGCCTAATGACTGTGTCTTCTTGGGACACAAACTTTTGCTCATGAATGTATCACAGCTTTCTGCTCATGTAGTTAAGCTGTCAGCAGATGCTCCCTTATGATCTGCTCAGAACCAAAAAAAATAGTGGGAACATTAATTGAGGCTACATCACTGCTCAGGAAAGATTCCCAGGGAAAAGCAGTTATTGCTTTCTGCTTGTGGAGTCTAATTCCCAGCTTCAATTATAATTTTTCCCATCACTTTTTAAATCTTTACTTTATTTGGTCGCTCCTATAATAAGAAATACCTTTTTGTAAAGCTAGTCGATATTTTTAAAAGTCTGAAAGGAAAGCAAATGAGAAACTTTCATGAATGACAGGGGGAGAGGGGAAAGACAAGAAACTATTTAAAATAGCTCCCACCAACAGATAGAATTCTCCAGAAATAATTCCTATCCTTGGAGACTTGAATAATATTTTAAACACACTGGCTTTCCCATGTAAACACAGCCATATTTGGATGTGTTTCTGAGTTCTGCTGTACTTCCAAGGCAACTGAAGCAGGGACACGGTTCAGACGTCCAGGCTGGAGGTCGGCCTGCCTTCCACAGTTGTCAGATACCAGGATACAAACACGACGGGCTCGAGCTGCTGATGTGAAAAGTAGGGACCCTGGGACTCTGCTCCAGGATTTCCTTCTTTCTTCTGCTTTCCGCTAGGATCAACACTGACACTCTGTTGCTTTTCTTATTTGTCCTCACTCAGGCCTTCTGACACTTCTCACCTCTTCCCTTGCAGGCAACATCACTCAGGGTAAATACTTCACTTGATTAATCACTTGCTTTAGCTATTTTTCTTCCTCTCTGCATGCAGGCCTCAAAGTCTTGTTACTTAGGATTTCCTTGTTCTCTCTAGGCCTTTAGCTCTTTCTATAGAAGCACAGACTTTAAACAGAGGGCAACACGAATGCGGGAATGGCAGAGGCAGAAAGGCAGCTCTTTCTTTTTGTGTGTGTGTGGTTTTTTTTTTTTTTTCATTTATTTTTATTAGCTGGAGGCTAATTACTTCACAATGTTATAGTGGTTTTTGCTATACATTGACATGAATCAGCCATGGATTTACATGTGTTCCCCATCCTGAAGCCTCCTCCCACCTCCCTCCCCATCCCATCCCTCTGGGTCATCCCAGTGCACCAGCCCCGAGCACTTGTCTCATGCATCCAACCTGGACTGGCGATATGTTTCACACTTGATAATATACATGTTTCGATGCTGTTCTCTCAGACCATCCCACCCTCACCTTCTCCCATAGAGACCAAAAGTCTGTTCTATACATCTGTGTCTCTTTTTCTGTCTTGCATATAGAGTTACTGTTACCATCTTTCTAAATTCCATATACATGCGTTAGTATACTGTATTGGTGTTTATCTTTCTGGCTTACTTCACTCTGTATGATGGGGTCCACTTTCATCCATCTCATTAGAACTGATTCAACTATATTCTTTTTAATGGCTGAGTAATATTCCATGGTGTCTATGTACCACAGCTTTCTTATCCATTCGTCTGCTGATGGGCATCTAGGTTGCTTGCATGTCCTGGCTATTATAAACAGTGCTGCGATGAACATTGGGGTGCACGTGTCTCTTTCAGATCTGGTTTCCTCAGTGTGTATGCCCAGAAGTGGGATTGCTGGGTGATATGGCAGTTCTATTTCCAGTTTTTTAAGAAATCTCCACACTGTTCTCCATAGTGGCTGTACTAGTTTGCATTCCCACCAACAGTGTAAGAGGGTTCCTTTTTCTCCACACCCTCTCCAGCATTTATTGCTTGTAGACTTTTGGATAGCAGCCATTCTGATTGGTGTGAAATGGTACCTCATTGTGGTTTTGATTTGCATTTCTCTGATAATGAGTGATGTTGAGCATCTTTTCATGTGTTTGTTAGCCATCTGTATGTCTTCTTTGGAGAAATGTCTGTTTAGTTCTTTGGCCCATTTTTTGATTGGGTCATTTATTTTTCTGGAATTGAGCTGCAGGAGTTGCTTGTATATTTTTGAGATTAATACAAAGGCAGCTCTTTCTTGGGAATTCCAGATTGAAGTCTATCAGTCTGGTTCCCTCCCAATCCAGGGAGACTAAGACCTTGCTGCACCTTTTTTAGGCTTATATATTCCCCCCCCCCCCCGCCCCCTTTTTTTGACCATGCCATGTGGCAGACATGTAGCCTGCCAGGCTCCTCTGTCCATGGGATATCCCAGGCAAGAATACTGGAGTGGGTTGCCACTTCCTCCTCCAGGGGATGTTTCTGACCCAGGGATCAAGCCCACGCCTCCTGTATCTCTGCATCACAGATGAATTCTTTACTGCTGAGCCACTGGGCAAGCCCTAAGCACACATTTTGCTTTTTTTGCCCATGCCAAGCAGTGGGCATGTGGGATCTTAATTCTCCGACCAGGGATTGAACCTATACCCCTGCATTGGAAGTATGGAGTCTTAACCACTGGACCACCAGGGATGCCCATAGGCTTATATATTCCTAGGCACTACTTATAACTACCTATGTGGAAGCTAAACTACTCTGACTTCCCACAGATCCTACTCCTCTAAGTGGTGAGTGGTGGAACCACATCCCGTTTCAACACAACTGCCAGCTTTACTCTCACAGCCCCATGCGTGTACACAAAGCTCGATGGCCCCATCTTATCCTCAAACAGCTCATACTTGACAAACTGCTTGGGTAAATGCAGCACCTCTGAATTGCATCAAGGGAACAAATACAGCATTATCAAAACACATGCCAGGATGATTAAACCCCATCCCCACTGTATGCAAGGAAATAAGACCCAGGATGGATTCCTCAGAAGGAATAGGAACTACTCAGGCTTTAAACTATCTAAAAAGTAAAGGAAACTAGAAAGGCTAGTATTATCTTGGCCAAAGATGTATTTATTCCCCTGTTTCCAGACCAAACACACAGCCCTGTGTGTGGACAACGGTCAGTGTGCACATGGAATGGCCATTTCAGGACCATTGTTCCTGCTAGATTATAAACCCCAGAAAGGCAGGCTTGGACGGCATCTTACTGAACCAAACGTGATTCAGGTGCAGCTTAGAGTCAGCGACTAGAGTGTGCTCTGTACGCATAAGCCACCAAGTAATTCCTCCTCACTCCCCATCACTGAGGCCTCCTCCGTGCCTGACTCTGTGTGGAAGGTAAGACCAATAACCCACTGACCGTAGGAAATCTACTGGGAGCAGCCCCTCACATAGTTGCTTCACATGGGGTTCTTGTAAGAGCGTCCCCTGCAAGACCCTTTGCGGGGGTTGCTCTGCTGCCCTCAAGAATAAAAATCTCTATGATCCAGAGTTGCTATGCACCAAATTTTGATGCTTTTTAAATATGTTGATGCCTGTAGCGCTAGAAATGCTTTCCTATTTAAAATAAAAATTAAATTTTTTTTTTAAAAAAGAGCAATCTTCTTGGAGCAGAAGAGGAGACACACACCCACGGGAAAGGCAGTCAGTGGCACGACAGCCATCTACAGAGAGGCACTCCAGGATTTTGGAAGGATATGGCGGGTTCTGGGCTGGCAAGGGGAGGAAGGGTAAGGATGGTTCTGCAGACATGAGGACAAAGCTGAGGGTGCTGGCCGGGTGAGTCAGGAGTGAGTTGAGAGAGGAAGAGATGGGAACAGGATGAAGCAGTTCTGGAACCCAAAGTAGTTCACAGACTTGGAGGGGGTGGTGGGGGAAGGGTTGGTGAGTAAGGAGAAGAGGGAGGGAGGTGGGCACAGGCCCCCTGATCCTGGGGTCCGTATCGTTCCAAACTGGGAGATTTGGATTCTCTCCTAGAGGTGGGGGAGTGGCACTGTGACTGGAATCTGACCAGATTTGGGCTGTTCTGGAAGCAGATGGCATGACTCTTTCCCCCACTCCTGGTCACCCTGGGGAGGTGGGACAAGGACCTGCAGCAAAGTGGGCAACAGGTGAGCTCCCACTCCTCCGGCCCCAGGGCTGGCCCTGCTGGCAGCCTGACCTCAGGGCTCCAGCCGTGGGGGCCGCCCTGGGCCAGGGCTGCAGGCCACTGGGGGAGTCAGTGTCCCTCTGGGGTTTGGTCTGAACGGACACGGCCCCCCAGGGAGAAGCCACTTCCTCTATCAGGAGGAAAGGCGGCATCCACCTCCCTGTCCCTTCTGCTGTTATTCCTCAGTGTGTCCAGATCCTGGGTGGAAAAAGGGCTTTCAGAGAACCCGACCTAAGCCTGGACTGGAAACACAGGAGACTGCAAATAAGGAGACCAATTAGAAAGCTGCTATGAGTCCCCGTAAAACTGATGAGGACCTTAAAATGGAAGAGTGTGGAGGATAGAAAGTCTGAGGGCTGAGAGACGCCAAGGAGAACCTGCAGAGGAAGAGGCGCGAGGGAAGGTCCACGCTCACCTCATCATGAGCACACACACACCTCCCTGGCCAGGAGTTGTTCCCTGTGGAAGATGAGCCAGGGAAAGGCACACGGTTTAAGCTTTTCTCTCCCCCCGGTCCCCAAGGACAGAACAAGACCGCGCAGAAGTGGTTGGCATCCGGCCTACGTGTCTTACCCACATACGAGGCAGGCCAGGCTGACTGGCCCCCTCCTCCATAGGGGTCCTGGGGCTTGGTACTCAGAGCACTGGTGTGAAGAGCAGAGTCAGAATTGGTCCTGAGGGGGAGGGGGAAGAGAGACAGTCTGGCTGAAAAATCCATTTTTTCCTTAGTGAAAATGCAATATTCTTTCCTGAAAATTACCAACGGGAGAGAAAGCAAGAATAACCGATTTACAATCATCCATAAAATGAGGGGTCTGGACGTACCTGCAGTCCCTTACAACATCAGCCTCTGAGGATGACCCACACGCAGAAAACAGCAATTTGTACTTGTAAGATCTCACATTTTGAAGCTAGTGGAGTAATGATATGGTTTAACAAGGAAGACACTAGATTCATGGCTTTCTTTAAGAAACGTTTCATCTTTCCTCACAACTCAGAAGATGGCTGTGGCCAATATATTCTCTGCAGCTGGGCTAGATCCTCTCCATCTGTGAATAATTCCTCCTCCAGGAAGGATCATCAAAGCAGTGGCTTTCCAGCCCTTCCAGGGAGAATGTAAGGTCGGGACGACTTTCAGAATAACCCTAACATGTTCTCTGCCCTTTCACTCTCGCCCTCATGAGCACAGTAGTTTTCCAGAGCCTTGTGACATGCAATGTCAATGCAGACTGAACGCACAAGCAGAGGATCAAGCAATATTCAAGAGATACATAAAAGGGACAACGCCTCTCTTCTCAGTGATTTAGTTTGTTTCAGAAAATATAACTGTGCTTAAAAAATATGATTTATGTTGACATGAGTTTATTACTGCTATTTCTAAGTGTATTAATAAGTATCTTCTATAAATCTCTCAATTCAATAGCTAAATACAAACAAATGTACCCACATGAATAAACACTGTTCGAGGGCCTCAATGGTTTTTAAGACTGTGACAGAATCGTGAGACAAAAATTGGTGGAACTGTTGAACTACAGCAAATTTCTGAAATTCTCCCAGACAGTTGCAGTTTACATGCAGCTTTGACTCCAAGAGATATTATTTACTTGTCCCATCAAGGGTCAAACTGCCAAAAAAGAACTTGTTTGAGGCTTCGAATTAGCCTAAAATGCTTCTCTGTGGGCTGTTTCAGGTGACGGCCTTCTGCAGCCACTGAGCTCCGTGGCTGGACCGTGTGCCAAGGCTGGGTTGGGTTCACACAAGGGGCAGGCAGCTCAGAACCAGGAGGAAGCAGCAGCAAAAGCAAGGACTCTGGGACCGGGGAGCCTTGGGTTCAGATTCAAAGAGACTCAAGAGAATGTCAATCAAATGCAGAGACACAACTGAGGAAATGTGAATACAGACTGGGTATTAGATAATATTAGGAATTATTGTTAATTTTGTTAAGTGGAATAATGGCATTGCAGTTATGTTGTTGTTGTTTTTTAAAGGTTCCTATCAGCCTTATACTGTTAGAGATACTTGCAGGTGAAATACTCTATTTGGCTGGTGGTGGGATGAGGGTGGGAAGGGCAGGGGGTAAGGGTAGACATAGAAGCTAAAAGATGGGCACACGGAATTCTTGCAATGCTTTTCCCTTTTGTGTATGTTAAAATTTTGCACTAAATTTTTTTTTTATCCCAGTTCCATCACATCACAAGGTTACAAGCTAAGTGACCTTGGACAAGTCATTTGTAACTTCTTAGAACAGAAAGTCATACTCATTCTTGTAGAATGTGATCAGGATTAAACACTGGGGTCAGGCCTTAAGTGATGGTTTAATACGGTTATTGAACGCTTATGCTTCCTTGTGTTTCTTACGTATCTTTTTTAATCCTCACAACCATCCCTTGATGTAGGTATTGTTATCTTCCTTTTCCCAGCTGAGTAAACTGAGACACAGAGAAGCTATGCAACTTGCTCAAGGACACAGAGTGGGAGGCGAACTGTCATTCACTCAGACTTCATGTTCTCACAGCTACATTGTACTGAGCAGACGTTCACTACATGGTGGGAGATTCAGGTTGCTTTTTTTTAACACTTAGTATAAACAACAGAATATAAGAGTACTCTGGCAAACAGATGATAGATTAAAAAGCAGCAGGACCATCAAGGTAATTTGCCTTCTTTAAAGTTTATTTCTACTAGAAAACAAGCTATGTACCTGTTGAGTGCAGATGTTAGCCTGAACCCAGGGTGCTTCTCTTCCTTCCAAGGAGGCTGCTGCCTTTAAAAACCAGAATAACATAAAAAGAAAAGAAGTTCAGTCCACAAGGAGCAAGGGAAACCTCAGGCCTGGGTTTGAGAACCGGCCCTTCTCACGCAGCTGCACAGCTGATCTCTCCAGGTCCTGTGATTTCTGACTTCTATAATAAAAACTATCAGAAATTTGTGCGAATAGAGCAAGCAAATGAGCCAGCTGGGCATGCAAGGAGGTTTTTGGTCTTTTTTTTAAAGGGCAAACAAGCACTTTTGAATGCCTTTTGAAATATTTCAGATCCATGACCAACTCCTCTCTGGGGATGTGAGGTCTTATTCCAGATATGTGAAAAACTACCCCTCATCACATACCCCGAGTGTGTCCATAGGGGATGCCTGGCAAATCCTGATAGAGAAATGCTGCACTCCTCTACAGAGGTCCATAAAGAGTCACATAACTGCTACAGTAATCCAATGTATGAAAATATTAATCTAACTAATCCTCATGTTCTAGAAAGCATAAAACACTTTTCTCTTAAGTACAAATTTTTTACAATCTCAAATGGGACATATCTTTTTATGATTTAATTAAAGTATCTGCCTGCAGTGAGGGAGACCCAGGATCGATCCCTGGGTCAGGAAGATCCCCTGGAGAAGGGAATGGCTACCCACTCCAGTATCCTTGCCTGGAGAATCCCCAAGGACAGAGGAGCCTGGTGGGCTACAGTCCATGGGGTTGCACAGAGTTGGATACGACGGAGTGCCTAATGCTTTAATGATTTAAAATAAGATACTGTGTTTATTCTACAATCATGGATCCCAGGATTTTTTAGGGTTACTGAAAACCTACTTGAGGTAGGGGCCTGCTGTTATCCCTCTTCATACCTGCCTTTCCCAGGTCCTGACTACATTATCCACAGTAAGTGCTGTCAGTATTTGCCCCAAGAATAGATGGAGAATGGACTTCAATCCAGGAAGCTAAAATTTTCAACATGTCCATTTCAAATGCCTCTTAAATCTGACCAGGTATTCTGAAAATGATATCGTGCATCCACTGGATGTAACAATCTTTTCAGTTAACTCTATATTCTGTCACCTTCAGTACTATTCCAAAAATACTCAATTTTTTGGTATATATTCTCTACATATAAAAATACTCAAAGAGACCCTAAATCAAATCCACTATGCAATAATAGTTTTAGGAGCTTACTATCGCCTCTGTTTCTTCCAGTAGCTTACCATGACACCTTTATATATTTAAATATAATAATACCAAATCAGACTATCATGTTGGTCAATGTATTCTGAATGTGTTTCTACTTGGTCTTTAAAATGAAGATCTGGATTGATTTAAATAACTTTTAATTTCAGACTTTCATATGTGGAGAGACTTAAGTTTTATAAGAGAAAACAAGAGTCTGTGCTTTAGATTAGAAATTTCTAAAATGATATCTGGGGTGGGTAAAACAAAGTGAGACTGTCCAAGCACAGCACATGCCCATCATATCTTTGAAAACATGACTTGCTTACCTGGGCCAACTCTCATCCAGGGGCTGTGAGGAATAATTTGCTCCAAGCGTGCTACCATCGAAGTAGAAATTTCAATCAAGGAAAACTCTTATGAAGGGGAAGCTGAGGCAGAACTAAGAGGCTGGAGTCCTGCGGAGTTCAACTGCTGAGTTTTCAGTTTTTATCTTTATCTCTATACCCGACAGCTCTTCCTCCTACTTTGGCTTATCAACTTCCTCTGGAAACGTCCATTCCTCTATCTCCTAACCAGCACCATCTTTGCATGATTCATGTGGGGTGTTTTCTTTTTTTTCTTTTTTGCGTGTCCAACCTCTTTTACTTTGAAGAACTGCCTGCACCCCTACCCGAAACCTGGTTTGGCTGTCACTCTGTATAGGCCTCCCTGTCCCACAGAATGTACCCACATCGAGGATTTCCATTCAAGGTCACTTAACCCCCTGTAACTAGTTCAGGGATGGGCTCACGATACAAACACGGGAAGAAAGGACTGCCCCCAGCTGAGGTGGTGAGCTCGGGGACCATGTGGGCCTGGGTTTCTCTCCCTGGAAGTCAAGGTAGAGGTGGCAGCCCCCAGATACTGAGTCTCAGTGCTATTGTACGGACACCTGGATCCAGCCCCTGGGCTTCTAGTAACATAAGCCAATAAATTTCCTTTTGGGTTCCTGTTTCTTATAACCCAAAGAGAGCTACATTAGGTTTGTGGAGAAATGTGAACTTCCTTAGGTGGTCAAGGGCCCTGTTTTATGGATTCTGTATTGTTCACTGGGTCTAGCCTGCCTTAGAACACATTCAGATGAAATGGAAACAGGGAAAAACAGATGGGATGCTACACTATATGTGCTGAGTACAATAGAGCCGTTTGGTTAATTTAATTAATTATACTCATAGAATACCTTCTCAAAACATTCTAAGTCATATTATTCTCCTGTGATCTTCAGTGATTCTGTGTAAAAGAAGCCACCGTCTAAGGTTCAGGAGGAAACAGGGGCCTTGATGGAAAAGGAACTATCATGCAGGCAGAATGTGGCATTAGTAAAATATGGACACTGATGAACTCTTAACGAAATGTTTCCTCTGCCAGAACCACTATGATCACAAGTTTCACTTCCTGTGTACTAGTGTGGTCATGTCTAGTTACCTTCTTTCTTAATCTGAATCTTAGTCAATGCAATAAAACAGAGGTGCTTTCAGAAGAGAGACCAGACGCTTCTTCAACATTAACTATCAGGCTATGCAGGAGACATAAGAGGCGTGGGTTGGATCCCTGAGTCTGGAAGATCCCCCGGAGGAGGGCATGGCAACCCACTCCAGTATTCTTGCCTGGAGCAAGAGGAGCCCGATGGGCTACAGTCCATTGGGTTGCAAAGCGTTAGACACAACTGAAGTGACTTAGTGCAAACACATGCGTGCAAAGTACAGGTCGGAATGGACCACAGTAGGAGACGAAGAGGAAAAGGTGAAGAAGATACCAGAATGCCTCTGAGAGGAAAAACAGCAGTATCTTAACTGGCAGAACCACTAGGGAGAAGGCACTGGGCCTTTCTCTTTTCAGCAGATTTTAATGAACCTCTGTCCAGAAATGCTTAATTCTGAAGTAGAAATTTGCCACTTCTCTCAGGACACTGCCACTTTTAAAGTCATTAAGTCCACTTATCTAGAACCTGTAAACAAGTTAGAATGCAGTGGTGTAACAGTAGTACAACGATTAAACATAATCATTTCAATGTTGAGGAGTAGGTCAGCATGTTAGCCTTTCTGATGTATATCAACAACGTGGAAACATGGTGAGTTTCTGAAATTTTAATATGACGGGGCTGAGGCATCAAAAGTTAAAAGATGTGACGTCTGAGCTCTCCCAGTTCTCACCATTCACATCTCACTTAATGGATATTCAAAAACCCAACACCTATTGGCATCAAGAGATGCCCTAATGTTAGTAATCACTCATGGCAGTTGTTGTTGCTGTTGTTTAGTCACTAAGTCGTATCCAACGCTGTGACCCTGTGGACTGTGGCCCGCCAGGCTCCTCTGTCCATGGGATTTTCCAGGCAAGAATGTTAGAGTGGGATGCCATTTCCTTCTCCAGGGGATCTTCCTGGACCAGGGATTGGTACATGTCTCCTGCATTGGCAGGCAGATTCTTTACCACTAAGCCACCAGGGAAGCCTATTCATGTCAGTGTGTGTGTGTGTGTGTGTGACTCAGTCATGTCTGACTCTGTGACTCCATGGATTGTGGCCCACCAGGCTCTTCCATGCATGGGATTCTCCAGGCAAGAATACCGGAGTGGGTTGTCATTTCCTTCTCCAGGGGGTCTTCCCAACCTAGGGCTCGAACCCAGGCCTCCTGCATTGCAGGCGGGCACTATACTGTCTGCTTTACTGCCATGTCATGTAGCTTACAGCTAAATTCAACAGAAGCTTAGAAAATGTTTATTTGCTCTTCTGAAGATCTGAGAAAACTTTGTTCAGGTGGCTTTAATCACTCCACAGTACTAATATGCCATGAAGAACATCCTAAATAGACAGAAAAAATATCCTTATTTGTAAACTAGAATTTACCATTCAATTCAATGAACATTTATATTCTGCCTGCGAGTTGCCAGGAAACAAACAGAAGAGCAGCCTAGGTGACAGGGAAAACAAGCCAGATCAGCCCCTCCTCCATTACCACCTTGAAAGAGAGAGTAACAGTCGCTCAGTTGTGTCCCACTCTTTGTGACCCCATGGACTGTGGCCCCCCAGGCTCTTCTGTCCACGAGATTCTCCAGGCAAGAATACTGGAGTAGGTTGCCATTTTCTTCTCCAGGGGATCTTTCTGACCAGGGATTGAACCTGGGTCTCCTGCATTGCAGGCAGATTCTTTACCATCTAAACCACCAGGGAAGCCTCCATCACCTTAGTTAAACCTAAGTCAGAAAACAATCCCACGTTATAATGGATCTTTTGATTTATCCCCAGTGCACTCCTTTTCAGCTCCTTTTCTGGCTCTTCCTCTTCTGCCTTCAACCCTAATGTTCCCAGAGTCTCTATGGCCTCACAGTCTCTCAGCCCACATCTGCTTGCACTGCTCTCAAAAGCACATAGTGGGGAGAACAGCCTCGGTATCGTGGGTACCATGTAGAGTGGGAGTAGGGTGGGAGGCTGGAGAGAGACTCTGGGTGCAGCCACTTGGGGAAGAGCACCCAGGAGACTGAGAGGCAGTCCCCCTCCTCTGCCCTGTCCCATCCATGCCTTTGGCTCCATCTATCACCCACAGCCCAGTAACTCGTGAATCCATACTTCCAGCTCCCCACAGTTCTCAAGAACTCCAAGCCCGCACTTCCCACTGCCTTACTCAGCTTCTCCACCCAAAGCATCTCAAGCTCTACCTCCAGGCCCACTTGTCATGCTGCCTCTCATCTCCTCATCGTGTTCCAGTCCATCACATGTAATGGGGGCGCCCTCCACCCAGGTGCTCAGGTGGAGGTGTCAGTCTCCCTGGGCTGTTTCTCTTCCC